ACAAGAAGTAGAGGACCAGAGGAAATTTATTGATGGGTTATTTGAACAGCTACAGAAGAATATGTAAATGATGGAAGAAATAATGGAAGCCATTAAGAAAGCAAATGCTCCACAGGCATTAAGCCAGAAAATATACATTGATGAGGAGGAACTGAACAACTGTGGAAGGAAATGGAAAAGGTGGAAGAAAGAATTGAAACTAAAGATAAAAAGGTACAAGAACTTAAAAATTCAGCGCAAGATAGAGTACAGCCAACACAGTACTAGAAATAAAAGAAATGCATGGAATGAAATCCAGAATATTAGGGCCAAAATGACAAAATTGTCCAACATGCTGGAAGGACAAAAGAGTAAAACAGAAGAGATGGGGCAGAGAGTCAGTGAGGTGGAAGCCAAGAACCTCAATGGAAACATGGTAGAAGAAAAATAAGAGATTAAAAATAAGAAAAGAGATGAAAACATGAAGATCATGTGAGATGACATCAAAAGGAACAACACAGGTATTATTCAAATTCCAGAATATGAGAGGGACAGGGAAAATTGCAGAAGAGGTACTAAAAGAAAACTTCCAAGGTATTAGGAAGAAAGGAAATTCACATTCAAGAAGCTCAGTGAACACCAAATAGACTAGATGTTAAAAGGAAACCATTAAAACATATCATAGTCAAATTCTCCAAAATAAAAGGTAGTGATAATGAAAGAACAGTAAAAGCAGTATGAAAAAAAGTGTTACCTACAAAGGAAAAGCAATTAGATTAAGTTCTGATTTTTCAGCTGAAACCAAGTGAGCTAGAAGACAATGGGATGGTATATGGGGGAGGGGAAGCCAACTGAGGATTCTGTGCCCAGTAAAGCTCTCCATCAAATGTGAAGGAGAAATCAGATCTTTGTGTGAAAACAAACCCAAATCTACAAACAATTTTAAGGGATGTCCTTCACACAGAGATAACAAAGGAAAGTAGGTCGATCGTAGTAACCAGGAACAACCAAAAAAGAAACAGCAAAATGAA